GTGAGAGGGTGTGGGGGGGGTGGGGGGGGGGAGGAAGTATGTTTTGGTTTTATTTCTGACTTTTATGTTGGTAATAGCTCCCGTTCCAAAGCTTTTACAAACTTCAGTAGAACTAAGAGCTGAGTTTTTGCTATAGCCCAGCGCTTACCAGTGAGGAAAGGAATAAAGTGGGCTTACTCATTTCACTCTTTTTAGCAGTATAGCCAATTTCAGAAATGTCTCCTCAACTTAAAATAGTGAAAGTTCCTAGAACTGATGATATGTCTGAGACTAAAATGGTCTTTAAATGTACCTCCTAGCTGAAAGATGTGCTTGATTGTGTAAGTGTGCTGGCAGGAGAAAAAAAAAAAGATTAGATTTAGGGGTATATATTTAAGAATGGACTTCAAAAAATACAACTTATTTTCACTTTGTAAACTTTTCTTGCAGAAATAAGAAGCAATACAGGCACTGCACTATGTATAACAATAAGAAATGGCAGGTTCGTATTGATTCAACAGGCTCAGAATCTCATTAGTTATCAAATGGGAGTTGAATACTGCCAACAAATAAACAACTTTTTTTTTCAGTCTCTGCTGCCCAAAGTCACCAAATACAGATTAGTCTGGCATGCATTTATTGTTCCTGCTAGATGTGATATAAAATAAAAGTCAGATTTAGATACACAGATGTTTTTTCCCCTCTTTCCTTCAGGCTGTTGAAGAATGCACAGAATGAAGTTCATTTCAAAATCTGGTATCGGAAACTGCTGGCCGCTCTCCAATTCTGTACTGGAAAAACCCTGAACAATGAGTTTTTTAAGGAGGGGAAACTTATCAGAATTCTGGAAGACATTGCCAAAAAAGTAAAAGCTGCCAGCGACCCAGAAAAAAAGGTTTGTTAAAAAATACCTCCCCTTCCATCTAAGTTTCTTCAGGTAATTTTATTTTTTCTAAGGTGACACCTCTTTCTTATAATGTCCTTTACATAAATGAACCCAAGATTTGACTAAAATTTGTAAAACTTTGTGCTACTCTGAAAACGAGTAAGACACATGTGTTTAATGGGACAACTGCCATCACTATTACTCTTGTGGTGAGCAAATCTTCCGAGCCATTCAAATTCCTTTATCAGTGGTTTCTCGACCAGTCTTGAAGGTGGTCAGAAATAATGGCAACAAAGTTGATGATTAACATTTTACTGAAAGGAACGCTCACATTCAGCACCTCATCCCAAAATATTTGACTCCTACAGAGCTGTGGTATTTCTTGAAAACTTTGCTAAGAGTTGTCCTCGACAGGCTGAACATCCTCATTCCTTAGCAAAGCCAACCAGAGTGGACTGTATTGAATATCTCAAATACAGCATTCAGCAATTAATACTGTACGCGTATCTGCAGAGATGCATTCCTGGCAGTAGAAGGCTTGCAGTTGTCTTCTCCAGCGGGTGCAGCTTTTATATTGCTTAGGTACATTTCCAATTCAAAACTGTTAATTTTCCAAGACTGTTGTTGTTACGTACCTGATGTATAAAACTGCTTCTTGCTGAGATCTCAGCAAGACAGACCAGAAAGGCAAATAAAAATATACCCACCACTGCTGGTTATCATAAAAGTTATCATGAATTCTTTTTGCCTTGTTAAGGTTTCAAAGATTTTCAAAGGATTTTTCAGAAGACTCCCAGTGTTGCTACTGAGAGCAGCAAAGCAAACATGGAAGTAAAAAGACAAAAATATTTGCAAAGAGAAAATTCCTTGTAAAAAAAAAAAAAAAAAAGAAAACAGTAGTGATACATTATACATTACTGATGCATAATTCAGGTTTTAGAGATTAGTCTCAAGGTTGCAGTTACTGTGATGCTGAGAAACTCCTACACCTTGCAGTTAACACACCTACAGTTAGGTGAGGGAGATCAGAGTTGAGGCAACAAGCAACAAATTATGAAGTTGTCCAGCAAGGCAAAAAAGACGTGAGATGCAGAAGAGCAGGTGCAAGGCTAATCAGCCCCTAATGAAGGGTATTGAATCTGAACCTACATGACAGCATGAACTGGTAGTGCATCTAGGCAGAAAAAAAACATGAATGTGGAGTAAAATCACAGTTCTTATTTTTAATAGCTGCGCCTCAGTGTGACCTCATTAGCTGTTATAAGGTTACATGGTTGCTACTAGCTCCAGAAATTGTACTGCTTGTTTAAAATACAGAAAGACAGTCAATGGCTTAAAAGCTGCTGGTATGTTCTTTCTTGTTGCCGTAATGATTCACATGTTACAGGAGGTGTTAAAGGTGGAACTCAACAGGCTTCAGCAGTTCTTCCAGGAGGTAAAGGTTTGTCGGCTTCCCCTGAATCCTGCGCTGGTTGTCCAAGGCATAGAGGCAGATGTAAGTCTAGTTCATACAATGGAGTATGATTTTAAAATTTTTTTTTTTTTTTTTTTTTTTTGTATAAAGGGGGAGAGAGTGAATGGCTGCATTGACTGGGAAATAATCTTATTGGTATTAACCATGAGGCATCTGGTAAACTGATACCTAGCTTAATCCCATTTAAACTGGGGGCCTTTGTTGGAGGCAGAGGTGAAGGGGACTTGGTGGGGTGGGTATGGCATGCATGTCTCACCTTGCGCAGTAGCAGCAGCAGAGATTTCAAACTCTTAAGCAACCTGCTCCCAGCTCAGCTGCCCTGCCACGGTGTTGGGACTGGTAAGGGCAGTCGGCTTCCCTGAAGCTGAGACCTGGTTACCATCCTGCCCAGGATTTTGTCTTATCTAAGACTCTCCCCTGTCTTGTATGGGAGCAGCTAAAGGTCTAGGGATAGCTCTCTTTTTGCTGAGGTAGGACTAGGCACGTGACTGAGAACTGCCAAAATGTTAAATATTCATAGTAACTTATCTGTGTCTATTAGCCCTATTAAAACAGACTTCAGAACAGAGGAAAAAACAATGCTCTTTAGTGTTACTTGACTTGACTTTGACTACAGTACTAATACTCAGTTATTCATTGTTGAGAAATGTTTTAATAAATAATATTATGCCAGGAATAAGCTGTTCCATCTCTGGAGAAGGAAAATGTATCCAGCAGCAGAGAAAACAAACCTGAACGTGCATCTATATTACCGGTTATAGCTGCCTAATTACAGCAATTTGTGCTCTATTTTTGTTCTCTGGCTCATTATCCACAGTGGACCTGATTCTAAGAGGTGTGCTGATCCCTTCAATTGCCTTTGACCTGTGATTCTCCAAGTAATTGCTATTCAGCCTTGATCTGGCTGAGAACAGAGGTCTTCCAGCACCCTGCAGGCTTGGGCCAATTGTGTATGATATAAGTCAGAAGGACTTGAAGCCTGCTGTTTCTTACTGCTTTCAGGCTTTTTGGAAATAATGACTAATGGGAAGGTATCGCACCATACAGTCATGCCATTTATACTACACCAGCTTGGCTGGGCAGATACAAAATGTTTAGATATGAGTATCAGAAGAGATTTTTTTTTTTTTAATTTTTCTTATATCATTATAGGCCATTATCTTGCTATAAATATATGCAGCTTCTTGATTGAACTGTATGTCAGTATAATCATGCAAATCGGAATTTTTAAGTGCTTATAATTGCCTAAATTTAGTTCATTTTGGTATCATCTATTGATTTTACTAGTAGCAAGCACTGCTCCCAGCTCTATCAGTAATGCGTTATCTCACAGTAACCTTTCAAGCACTCATTGAGACATTTCAATTGGCAAAATTCCATAGGGTCAGGATTTTATCATCAGTAACAGCTATTGCACGTGGCAGAGGTATGATTTGGCTAAGACAATATTTGAATGCTTGCACTGTGCTTTGAGATGTTAAGATGAAATGCAAGGGACAGCTGTGTCTAGAAGTGGTTTTGTTCAAATTAGCCTCCATTGCACTCCACCCAATAAGGACAGCAGTAGTTCCTGTGGGGCACTCATTATTTCTATAAATCAGGCCATTAATTTACCATTGTCTCCGGTTGTTTTTTCAGTGGGTGCCCCCCCCCCCTTTTTTTTTAATGACGATAATAATACCACCCTAACTCGCACAGGATTTGCAGTGCTTGGCTAATTAATGCTTTCTGAAGCCCTTTGAGGTCTTCAGGTGCAAGGAGCTGTAGGGCATGAGAAGTCAGAGTTTATGTTTAATTAAGATAAATTCCACATAAAATAGATCATGATTTTCAGAATTTCCTGTATTCTCAGCCAGAGTGAGGTCACCAAAGAAATTAGCAGGTTCTTTGCTTCCGTAAAGATTGCATGATTGGGCAAATTTTTTTTTCAGAAAATAATAGGACCGAAGGCTTTTCAATGCTTTACAGATTCTCATTAGATCAGTCTTATGTACTTTGTCCAGCCAAACTTCATCATTAATAGACCTGGATGACAATGAAAAACAGTACGGAAAATATTACCCATTCATATAATCTGAATATTGAGTGAAACAAATTGTCTGGGAAAAAGAATTTCTCATTTTCCTGACCCAATTAAACAGTCACTAGCATAAAGAATTATTTATTTTTGTTATCAGTGCTACTGAGCAATATTTAAAGATGGTACCTTTTCAGAGGTGTTGTATTAGCCTGCTGTTTTGTATATGTGACACTGTTGTTCTTCTCTCTCATCTTCTTTTCCCTGAAGTCATGTTCGTATTTTACGTCCAATGCTTTTCCATTAAAAATCTCCTTCATCAATGCAAATGCTCTGAGTGGAAACATCAATGTTATTTTTAAGGTACGTTGTTCCTCTAATCTTCAGTTCCTTTTGTATGGAAAATGTTGATTTGAAATTCACTTAATTTATGTTTTAAACCTTGAGCCTGAGAATGTTTGATTTGTCTCTGCTGTTCACTTTTCCCAATTATTTTTGACACGAGAACTTTTAACAGAATATTCTGAGGCAATGCACTGAAGTACCAACTTTTTGATCAGTGGAGAATCAAACAACTTCTTGCAATTTTTTTTCTTAGGGGAGACAACCAGGCTAAAATATGAAGTTTACATTTTAAACCTAGTTTATTTATCACACTGGAGTCAGAGGGCAAGTCTCAGCGAAGGGATACTTCAGAATGGCTGAATCCAGTAGCCTTGTCTGTATGTCTCTAACAAATCAAAATGCTGGAATGTTAGAGACTGCATTTGCTACAAAGAACTAATTCTGCCCTATCAGCCAGCATGGGAGAATGGGCTGAGGAAGAGGGAGGCAGAGGGAATAGCAGAGGAGCTCTGTGGATTTACTTGAAGGAGCTGACTCTGAAAGTAAATTCTGGTTTATTTTCCATTTGTCACCTTCAAAGCTTCAGACTTCAGGTCAGTGCTGTGTCCATCCGTGGAAGACAATATGCGCAATCTAAAGTTACTTTCAGAAGAGCAAAAGTCGTCCATAACAGTGGATGCTGTTTTCAGAGAACACTGAAGTTCATAAAATGGCTGATGGATACAAAATGGTCAGTGTTGCCAAAAACATTATTCTTAGATCTTTTGCAGTATCATGTTCCAAACCAGAAGCCTAAAACTTTATGAAAATAAATTTAAAAAAAAAAAAGATTTCTAGGCCGTCTTGAATTAAATTGACCTTTAGAGCAGCTGTGATTCTCAGGAATAGAAGTATACTTTCCAGGCAGGTTAGGGGGAGGCTAGCAACATTAAGTTTTTCTGAACATTTAGAAGGCTGGTTCTTACGCTATTTCATCTGAAAATCAATGTTAAATAGACAGGTTTCTACTTACTTGAGCAACTTCAGCAAATGCCTGCCCACGCAGCATTTAAACATTTGTGCTGGTTTTACCTAGACAGAATTTTCCCTGCTCAGTAGCGTTCACCAACCAACCAGCTGTCCAGCTGCTGTAGAAGCATTATAGCTGACATCACCTTCACCTGCCAGCAAACCATTGTGTTAAAGTGTCTTTTACTTGTACTATAGTTCCATTGTTTGTTTATGATGGATAATGCATATGTAAAATGATAAGCACTGATACCGTACTAAATTGTCTACTGATTTTATACATGAGGGAAGATAATTGGAGAGAATAAGATTTTTCTCAGGTTTAGGTACTAAGAAGACTTAATTGGAGTTAAGATTACCTTTAAATGGAAGATAAACATATTTTGATTTTTTTGTTAAAGGATAGTTCATAGCATTAAATGTCTGTATTTTGGAATGCTTATATAAAAAGAGTGTAATAAAACAATAAAGCACTTAAAACCACCAGTAAAAGTCACACATATTTAAGGTGAGGTGGGGAGGAGGAAACAAAAAAAGCAGGGCTTTTGTTTTCACAGGCCATTTACTCAGCCATGGTTGAAGATAATCTCTTCATTACCTCTTGTGGCTACAATTAAAGCCCCATTTCACTAAGACTGTTGTTTGACCGACTCCATGGGGAGATCAGTCAACACTGCATCACTGCTTGAAACTGAATATGAATCATGTCATGGATAAAATATAAATGCATGATAAAATTCCCCTTCAGCCTGCTGCAAATACCAAGTTGTGAAGCTTAACATTAGACAAATGCTGTCATTTTTGAAAAGGGATCTAGCATTAGGTAGACTTTACGAAATGTAACTAAATTAGGATCCTACCTCCGGATTAAATTTTCAAACTCTAATAATTACATAGGAATAATAAGCAGAAAGGCTGCAGTTAATCAGGGAGCATTTGTTACTATCTCAGGGGCTGCCAAAACTGTTTCTGCCTATGTGTGCCATTTACTCTGTCCTCTTCTGACGCAGAAAGATAAGTAGCAACTTTGAAGAAAAACAAGAGGGATTTACTGTAAAATGAACATAGCTATTTTGGTGAGGGAAAAAATCCAAATGAAATAGGAAGTTATTTCTCTCTGGTATTGAAGGAGAAACATGGATTTCTTGTGCAATTTTCACAGATAGGTGATGATCTACGTCAAGATATGCTGGTTCTGCAAATTATTCGAGTGATGGACAGCATTTGGCTCCAAGAGGGACTGGATATGCAAATGATTATTTATAGGTGTTTATCTACAGGAAAAGGCCAAGGTCAGTTTTACATTATGCAAGTTACCTGTATTACTTTATTCATATCTCATGTAAACAGCAGTATACAAAAATTTTCCTGTTAACTTTTCTTTTCATAGGTGTCTTATTTATCTTCCCTCTTAAAGAAAAAAAATGCTCAGATTTTCTGTTACTCAGGCCCTAAATTCTGTATACTTCCCTACTCCTGAATGTTCATTTTATTTATTCATTGTGCCTCTCCAGAATAAGTACAACCAAACTCATTGAATTTCGTAGCAGCTTAGGCTAGAATTTTCCAAAAGCCTCAACACCATCAGCTTGCACCAGATTTTTAAAAGTAACTTCACACATCAAAAAAAGAGCATTGGAGAAAATTGGCCACAGCTAGTAAAGTTATAATCCAGTTTGAACCTGCATAGATGCTTAAATGAACCTAGATGCATGTGGCTACGGAAAGTACCTGTAGACAAGTGATGACAGCTTTGCAGTGTTATTTTGAAATATTACTCTTGTGATATATGCTGCTTAGGGCAGGCCTGACTCATCTGAAAGCTTTATTTCTCTCTTTTATGGTTGTTATAGCAGAGCTGTAGCAGGGATACCAAATGCTTGCTAAAGAAATTTACTGACAGCAATAAGCTTACTATTTTTTACTGACTCTCCAAATCTTTTACTGAAAATAATCCTTGCACAAATACAAGACTGATGTATCCAGATTACCTGCTGTACAAAAACTACCAGAAAAAGAATTCATTGCTTTCTGAGCCACAAAGAGGAAATGAGAGAGGATGAATGATCTGAAGATGCTAGGAGAAAGTATAGATGAGTTCACACACATGATGGGTGGTTAAGGTGACCTGAAAAAGACTCCTCCTTTCTTTGTGGGGATGGGAGTCAAAGCTTGAAGGCTTCTGCTTCAAAGGCAAATAATATAAGCATACCATTTCTGAACATAATATTATAGTCTCTCTCATATACTAACATTTAATTTGATTTTTGCCAAGAAAGATGCAGGGATCACCTGCAAATAATATTCCCTGCCTGACAGTCTGCACCATAGCAGCAGAAAGCCTCTCGGGGTCTGACAGGTTCTCCTCACAATATCTTTCCTTATAAGATACAGAAGTGTTAATACAATTGCTTTACAGTTAATGATTAAGGATAAAAGGACCAAATGACATGCCAGTGGCCCATACAGGACATGTGCTGAAGTAGCCTTGTGCACCCAAGTCTTCCAAGTCCTAGGCTAATGACTTGCTCCATGGGCCACCTTTTCTACACAAGGAGATATCAGATGATAATTTCACAGTCATGGGAACACAGCAATCACTTTTCATATAAATTTGAAAAGCAAATAAAGCACTGGTAGGATCCCACTTTCCAGACATGGTACAGTAGAGGAGCCTGTTAACAACCGAAATTGTTAGAGGAAGCCCTTCCTGTAACGCAGAGTTGTGGGATGACGTGCCAGGGGACCACACACAGGGACAGGGACAGAAGGCCGGCGAGCCAGGTCTCAGTTCCAAAAAAAGAATTAAGTGCATGCATGCAGTAGAAGCAGAGGATTCAGCTGAAGCATTGCAAAATGCTTGGCTTCTCTCTGCATTTCAAAGTCCCAGTTTATGTCATCTGGGATCAGACTAATTTCTGCACTGTCTAGTATCCTTTCTCCCAGCTGTGATCAGCATCAAATACTGCAGAAAAATTTGTGTAGCACTCTTGACAATAAACACGTATGAAACAACTTTATATTTCATAATAAATATCTGATCCTATTTTTACATATATTTTTGTTGTTTGATTACATATTCTACCCACTTTGAATCTTGCTAAATTGTTGGCCTTGGTACCTTGAGGCAGTGATTTCCACAGTATCGTTATTGGTGTTTTTATTTCTCATTTGCAGATATGTGACTTTTTACTAAGTGCCCTTTGTTTTTCACGTCCAAAGAGAAAGAGAAAAACTATCCTGATCTATATTTTCTGCTGCCTTCATTATTTTACAAGCTTTTAAGCATGTATTTTTTCTGCATGGAATGATCCAACAATAGGCAATATGCATCGATGGTCTTCATATCTTTTTAAAGTTGAAGGGTTTTCATGTGAACTCTTTTCTATCTGATTAGGATTGGTACAGATGGTGCCAGATGCTACCACACTAGCGAAGATCCACAGGGAGTCTGGTCTGATAGGACCATTGAAAGAAAACACAATTAAAAAATGGTTCCGTCATCACCATCCTCTGGAATCAAGTTACCAAGAGGTAACATCATAATGAAGCTTATTATACATTTCATGTTTTACCATGGGAAAAAAGAAACCAAATGGCGGTGAGCAGCAAAAACAAATGACTTGGACATAAGACAGACAAGTCACAGGCATAGAAACCAGGCAATTGACTTAAATACCACTCTCTTTCTATGGAGATATTGCTCTGGATCAGGTGCATTGTAATACATTTTCTATAAAAATGAGTCACAGAGATGTTTTGAAGTTTAGTAGTACAGCGAAGAGAAGCTGAAGTAGAAATTAAGTATTGAACTCAAACCCATTTATTTTTTAGGTCAGCTCTCTAAATACCTTATTTTATATAAACCATGCAAAGTCTTGGTGGATTTTCTGTATGACCATGTCAATACTATCAGAGTTTTAGAAAGCTGTTTTATAAAACTACCTAGTCATATGACACATAAGACCATGCTTTTTATATCCCATTCTGGGATACCATGTGATGCATCTGATTTTATGAAACTAGACATCGTGCATGAGCCAAAAAATTGGAAATTTTATTTATAGAAACAGAGGTTTCCTAAGGAACTCTTTGTACTCATTCTTTGTTGTCTGAGCATGTTCTGAGGCCCACAAAAAACTTCTAATGTTTGTGTTGCTGGGACAATTTTTAAAACCCTACCTCATTAGTAACCAAAAATTTTAAAGGGAGCTTTGAGTGTTTACCAGTCTGAAAATTTATTAGTAGAAGTATAGCATCAATATGTTTGATAAACTTTAGTAATTTTGTAATTATTCCATAGGCATTTGTTCATCCACATTTTCAGTAAGAGCACTTGAAATCCTAGTATATCATCTTGATTCAATCAAACAGGGACAATCTGTACAGAATTTTTTTTTACAAGTTTATATGTTTACAGTGTTATGATAGAAGTGCAGCCAACATTTCAACTGAAAAGTGAGGTACTATTAGTTATTGATTGAAAACTTGATTTCTTGCTGCTGCTGCTGTTTGTAAAAAGTACCATTAATATGGAATATTCTAAAACCAATTTCTACCCATTTTCTTTCAATTTTTTGAACATATAAAATACAGCCAGATCTGATTGCATAGGGCGTGAATAAAATTACTACTCTACATTCACCTTGCACTTGCTGGTGAATGAAGCTTTATGTTTTACTCCTTAATAATTTTTCACTCATACAATACTGTTTCTAAGGTGCTCAAAAAACTCATGCAGAATAAGCTTTAATATTCTCATTTTACAGTTGGGTGAACAAAATCACAGAAAGCTTAGGTGTTTTATCCAAGGTCATCAAAGTGAGTAAGTAGTACAGTTAGACATAAAATTCACCAAACTCTTGTGCTGTGGCCTAACTCTTCCACAGTGCTGTCATCCGTATCAGCATCCTCCATCTACAGGGAAATCCTCAGCACCAAAGTAATGATTTACATTGGATAATGTAGGTTTTGTCCAAAACCATAAAGATCACAGAACAGGATTGTTTGGGTTTCTATATAAATGAATCACATTGTGATTGAGATTCACAGGAGGTTAAGACTTCCAAATAAGGACTGCATTTTCAGGTCTTAAACTGTAGTAGGTAAGATTAGAAAAAGACAAAAGCTATTCCTTATGCTCTGGGGTAGAAGAGTGTTCATCATTTGGATAGGAATAACTCTCCCCTGAGAGGACACTGCATTTGTGTGCTGTGAAAGATATTGGGTAGATTCTTCTACTAGAAGAAGTTGCAGTTTTTAAATACTTCACACAGAAGTTAGCAGAATACCTGGAATCCACCTATGAGTGTCTGGTGAGCGGATCATTAGCTTGTACATTTTCCGATGTCAGCCATGGGCTCGTTTTTGGCAAAGAGAAATGCCACAATATAATACTGTAAGGAGATTCACGAGATATATCTGAATGAGCCAGTCTACTTACACAAAGCAGACTAACCGTGAAAGTACACATCTCCACCACGTGTAAGAGCATCAGAGGAGTAGGTTGTATAAACATGACTGCTAGACTGGTTTTTGGTTTAATCACTCTCTTGGGTCTCTCTGCGTGACACTAGCTTTGATTCCATAGTCTATTCAGATTCGCAGATGCTATGAGCAGAAAACAATTTAGCCTTTCTTTGTTTCAGTTCATTTCTGTAAAATGGGGTTTAATTCTTTGGGATGGAATATTGTGAGACTTGATTAATTAGGATTTGAGAAAGGCAATTGAGTTCTGGAGAAAAAAAGACCCATGTCGGTACAGAACAATATGGTGGGTGTAAAATAACTTTTCTTTACAAAACAAATGGTTAAATTTGTGGATTTCCAACTAATTTCCAAACAATCATTTTTACAATATACATGCAGGCTATTGAACAGAAAATGTCAGCTTCCTGCCAAGAAGCTTGCTTTTCTTAAGTACATTTCACCTTAGAAGTTTTTCACAGAATTCCACGTATCTGTAAAACACAAGGTGAAAACCTCATGCATAATTTTTTTCTTGCATTCTAACTTTGAAATTTGTGTCTTACTTATACATTCCGATGAACACCCATCTGTTAAAATTTTAGCAACATGCATAGCATTTGTAGAGCTACAACTTCTGGGTTTCTTGTTAGCATCACAAACAAATAACATCTCTGAATATTTCCAGTAAGTGCTTTTGTTTTACTAACTAGGCAATAAGGAATTTCTTTTATTCCTGTGCTGGCTGGTGTGTTGTTACCTTCATTCTGGGAGTCTGTGATCGACACAGTGACAACATAATGCTGACAAATGCTGGACACATGTTCCACATAGATTTTGGAAGATTTTTAGGTCACGCGCAGACATTTGGAAGCATAAGAAGGTTAGTATCTATAGTAACGCACATATTAAACTTTAAAGCAGTGTTCTGAAATTTCACAGTCTTACCAACACCCATGGAAAAAAATAGAAATAAGATTATGGTTTTTTTCCTTTCTGAATTGTGCAGAACAGCATCTTTTCATTGTTGACAAAAGCTCTAAAAAATACATGAATGACTGGAAAAGGAATTAAAATGAGATGTTGGAGATCCCCTTTCAGTCTGTTTGGTCAGATATTTGAATGATGCAATTCAGTAGTGACCAGAACAGTAGACTGGCCTATGCCAAAATAATTCTGACGTCCATTGTTTTTTTCTAACAGAGAAGTATTCCTATAATGTATCCAAAACCATAGATACATCTAATTAACCACTTTCTTTTTATTCTTTTTATTTTATCTTATATCTTATTATATTTATTATATCTAATATCTTATTATTATTTCTTTTTATTCGGAGAAGTTTCCAAACAGACATGGAGAATGATTACATTATGCCTCTGTGTGTAAAACTGTAAATTTTTTCTTTATCCTTTGAAGTTTTACATCTAACCACACTGAGCTCAGGGGCTGTTTTGCAAATGTCTGATTTTACCTAAACAAGACTGTGGCTTTTCCCTGTTTGTATCTATCTGTGATATAACTATCCCATGATAAAGATAAATAAAATAGCGTGAGCATCTATTCTAGTTCCTAATGTGAACGTACTATGGAGGAATGAATTGGGTTGGAATAAGAATATAGGATAATGCTGGTATGTGCAAAACACAAAGAAGCTGTTAAAGAAGAGTAGAGAATGGATAAATGATCCCTAATACTGACAAGATGAGTTGGGGGTGGGGGGGTGGGGGTGGGGTGTCTTGCCTCTGTGTTTCCTAATAATTTCCAGAACTAGTCCCAGAATTAAGTTTGAGTTAATTGTTCCTTTCTTTTTTCTTTTTTTTTTTTAAGCTGTCTTTTGACTATTCTAGACTATCTCAGTGTGTTAGACAGAAATAACAGCGTGGGAGTATTGATACGAAGGAAGCTGATGGGGCTAATAAGTACTTCTAAGCCAGGCAGTCAAAAGATTTAGTTGCAGTGCTCAGAATTATCATCAATCATTCAAGATATGCTCCCTTAATCCTACTTATTTGCTGTGGAAAGAATAAAGCAGAACACAGTAAAAAAAAAAAAAAAAAGATGCTCATGCACACTCTGAGACAAGTGCTGCATCCCTGACTCCAGCAAACCTCCTTTTGGAGCCTAACAGGAATTTCCATGAGCGGTAGCTTTACAGGACCAAAGAATTATCTAGTTTGTATGACAGCATGAAACAAATATAGGGGGGGACACAACAACCAAATTTAAACAGAAGTCATGTAATAGTAATCGTAAAAATAGATGTCAATTTTACTGTTTTACAACTCAGTCATACTACATCTTCTTATAAAGTCTAAGAAGATTACTTAAAATATAGTCACTTCCATAAACAGCAGCCATTTTTTCCTGTTTCTCCATGCTTTTAAACTATAAGATAAAATAATACATTTTAGGACCTCCATTCATGGAGTGCCCTCGTTGTTCTTTAGTAAATCAAGGGCTCACACTTATCAATAGGTAGTCAACATCATGGGACAATGGTTGTCTTCCTCATACCTACATGCAACTGGGCAGATACAATATTAATGACTGTAGTTCTCATGAGCTGTATGCACCTTCATGAAATGCAACATATTATTTGTAACACAGGAACACAGGGATATCACATTTCTACATCCCATAAATTTCAGGCTGTCTCAAAATTTGAAACCGTTAGTGCCGTGTCTAGTCATTCCCACAAGGCAAGTCCTGAAATAGGTTTAGTCTCTGTTTTCTTTAACAGCTGTTTATATTAGATTTTTATTTGAGTTCTTATTAGATATTTATGTGAGTTCTTTGTACCCCTAACAATATCATAGCCCTAAAATAATATTGATAAAACAGCAGCACAATGCTTTCAAATCTTTAGAATTATTAGTGCTGACCATTAGGGGTTTGCACAGTAGATGCTATACACATACTTGTGAAGTTCTATAGGGTGGCTTTAAAGAATGAAAAGTATCTAATACAAATCCCCATATATGCAATTGGTCTTTACATACATCAGAAAAACAAACCTTTGAGTTTTCTTAATGGAATCTATGCAAATGAATGAAGGCTTGTAAAAATGGAGTCCATGTCTGAACTGTTTAAAAGTCATTCCTTTCAGAATGTAGAATGTCAGAATGCTTGCCACAGCTGTCTACTTTCTGTTTTCAGGGAGTGCTTTTTGCCATTAACAAACTTATTCCTCACAAAGCTTCGTGAGGATATGTCCTCTCTAGTGTTCTGCATATGGAGCATTTCTTCTGATGTAAATAAAGTGAAAGGCATACACAGGCTTTGAGAATCACACAGAATCATAGAATCATAGAATGTTTTGGGTAGGAAGGGACCCCTAGAGGTCATCTAGTCCAACCCCCCTGCAGTGAGCAGGGACACCACTAACTAGATCAGGTTGCTCAGAGCCCCGTCCAACCTGGCCTTGAATGCTTCCAGGGATGGGGCCTCCACTACCTCTCTGGGCAACCTGTTCCAGTGTTTCACCACCCTCATTGTAAAGAATTTCTTCCTTATATCTAGTCTAAACCTACCCTGTTTTAGTTTAAAACCATTACCCCTTGTCCTGTCACAGCTGGCCCTACTAAAAAGATTTTCCTCCCCTTTCCTATAGGCCCCCTTTAGGTACTGAAAGGCCTCAATCAGGTCTCCCCGCAGCCTTCTCTTCTCCAG